GTGCAGGGGACAGATTTACACCCCATGTACAGGAGGGATGAAGGCCATTTTCCCAGGCAGGCCATTCCTCTCTCTTCTGCGTTTCCCTGGCTCACTCTCTGGAGTCAGTCCAGTTTAATTTCTTCGGAGCCCACAGGCTTGTTCTTTCACCTCCACATCCTTTCTTCCTTGCCGCCAACGAAGGACCTACTTTCCCATTTTAACTCCCTCGCCGGCTCTTAACTGAATCACTTTCTGTCTTTCTGCAAAGTGCTGCATCTTTATCTTTCTCTGCCCTTTGTCCCCCGTAGCGCAGGTTTCTAACCTTTCAGAGTGTCAGTCACTCAGCCCCGCCTCTCCTTCCTCTGTCTCCTGTGATGACTCTCAACAACAAGACTTTTTAAAATCCTTTTTACATTTATGCACTGAATATTCTGCACAACAAAAAGACAATTAATACAATAAAAGTCTCCAAAAATGCATTTAAAAGAAACTACAACTAAGGCTCTGCTGATTTAAATTATAGAAACACTATTGTTGTATAATCAAATAAATCCCTTCTGTAAACTTTTTTTTTTTCTTTGGAGTCAAATCAGGTCGTTGATTGTCCCATTATGCGCAGCTGGCTTAAAAACTATTACCAAAACAAATAAGACAGCAGTGACACCCAGCACAACTGTAGAACAATAAAAAATTATACGAAACACAACTCTGAGGCAGTAAAAACAATAATTCTGGAGAAACGGTATAAAAATAATAAGCTGTATAAAAAGCCTGAGAAGCATGAAGTGGAGATAAAATGCTGAGTGCAGCTGATGAAGTGGATGAGCTATTTTATGTGGAGTATGTATACAAAGGCAGCCTTTTAGTGGTGTTGTTCTTATAGCAGAGGATCTATAGCTACTGTGAGAGGCAGCTCAGGATAGTATTAGATGGTTTTGGCCTTCCTCAAGCCCGGCCTGTTGTAAATATTGTGAAACTGAGTTTGACTGTGCCCACATGTCCTGCTTTAAACACCATCAAGCCTGTCATGTCTATTCTTTAAAGTCATCTTTACAAAAGATCATTTATTTTTATTTTTTAAACATTAATAACCTGATCGTCATCTGACAGTGTATGAATATAAATATATATATATATAGATATATATATATATCTATATATATATTACATTGAGCTCAATCTGTAGGGGCTTGTGTTGGTAACCGGAGGGTCGCCTGTTAAGTCCTGGTGCGTACCAAAATATGTCTGGTAGTTGGAGAGATGCCAGGTCACTTCCTGAGTACTGCCGAGGTGCCTTGCGCAAAGCACAAACCCCCATCAGCTCTGGCGTGCTCCCTGAGTAGGACTGTGTAGCAGCCCCACTCTGACATGTCCACAGGTACTGTTTGTGCATGTGTGTATTAGGGACCTACGTGTGTGAGAAGCATGTCTCTCATTAACAGAGTGTAGTCTAGAATTTCCCTCAGGGATAATTAAGGTATAAATTAAAAATACATTTATAAAAAAATAAATAAACATGAAACTTTCTAAAACTGTTTAGTCCTTTGCAAACTATTTCGGATTACATTTTGCAATATGGACTGACTTTTGACTACTTTTATAGAAAAGGAAATACCAAGTAAGGGAATCAGTCTCAGTCAACCTTAAAGCCTAGACTGCCGGCCTTTTATGGCCTTTTCTATGGACTCCCGCAATATGATGTATGTCTGTCCTGATTCCTGTCCGGCTCCGGGAGAAAGAGTCCAGCAGATATCTCACAGCGTGATCGAATCATCATCTCCCCCTTTTCCATCTCTCTTAACTCCCTGATTTCTCTTTTCATCTCCTCCTCTCGCCTGTCTTCTTTTATTTTCGTTTTGATTTTGGAAAGTGGAGTTAAGGAGCAGAGATTGATGATAGAGGTGGAGATAGGAGGTGGAGATAGGGGGGAGGGGGTGCAGTATGGAGGGCTGATGCTCTGTATTTGGCTGTCAGCAGCTCTATTTCCTCTGTTGTTGTATAGTGTGCTGTGGGTTCAAGGTCTCTTCTCCATCAGCACCTTCCACTCCGCCTCTCTGCTCCACCTGACTCTACCATAAATCCACCAACACACATATATACACACTCACACACCCACACATACACACACACACCCACCAATCAATACAAGCCTGCTTGGCACTGCCAAAGCCCAAAATGACTATAGATTTTCTGTCGACTCTGCCACTAAATTATGCAAACCTCTGGTTTATGTTTCAGTACTTTTTTTTGGCATTCCTACTCCAGATACGGGACGGGGTTTTCCACTCAGGCAGGGATGTTGTGAATAACGAAAAACAGCTTTTGGACTGGAGGAATTCGTCTGACAAGACGTACAGAATGTGGTTTAGTGCAGAGTAATTGCAAAATGTATACTGTTATAGATTTTAAAATCAATAGCATGTATTAAGATTGTTGTAAATGTCCTGCTGAAGTCAGGGATTTGTTTAAGTGGTGAATAATGTGCTCCGGATATCAGTGCTGGATGTAGCATGCACAAACAACAACACACACACATATACACACACACACATAAATATAATCAATTATAAAACCAGTGATGCAAATATAAGAAATCAGAATTCCATCAGTTTCTGAAGTTGTCTGAAGGGTTGAATAAAGTTATAAATGCAAGCTGTTTCAGATCATTGAAAACTGACATTAAGAAAGTTAAGGTTAAGATCCATTACAGTGTTACTTTAATGCATTGTCATGTGAAATGTTGGATAAAGGGACTAGAAAAAAGCACGCTTACAGGCTTTTGCAATGCCTGTAGAGTAGCAAGATGTTTAAATTAGACACAAACCCCCAACCTTCGTCATTTCTTGCCTTGTCCTAAGTGTATGTGCATTTTTCTGAGGTTGGCTAATAGTCTGCCGGGCCTGTTGCAGGACAATTAGAAACTCTTGGAGGAAATTGAAATGATCAGCTCAACCAGTCCACGAACAACTCCATTACCAAGAACCCAACGGTCTCTCTCACTCATTATTCCTCCCTCCTCGTTTATACTTGGCTCATCATCTCTACATCATTAACACTTGCTCATTTCCCTGTCTGTTGTCTCTTATCCAAGTTTATATTCTGCATCTCGATTCAAGGTATTCAAGCCTTTTTTTTAGCCATTAGCCATAAATGAAATAGAAGGAAATCAACACTGATGTCTCTTTATGACCTTCAAAAGCAAACTGGAGCATCAGAGAGAAGGGTTTCTATAGAGTTGTTTTCTGTGCCTGTCACCCTTGCTGCAGGAAGGTGTGACTAGGCGGTGACCATTATGCTTTCACAACAGCCTCTTTTTTTCCACGTCAAAGATTGACTGTGACGCTCGACATTTAAAAGAAAAAAGGATAAGAAGTTTTGACATAAAGCCTCCCGCTTTTTCACCAAAATCCAAACAACCCAAAAGTTCCTCACAGGAACTTGAAGTTCAATCTTCTTCATTTCATTTCTCCAACTTTTTGTTCCTGTCTGTCTTTTTCTGCTGGTCTCCAAATTCCCAGATGGCACTTTTTACACAGTTTGCATGAATGTGTCTGACTGGATGAGTATATGTGAAAGTGACAGACTCAATGAGAGACAGACAGCCTGCTGTTCAGGATCGCATTATGGAGGATTTGGAAAGGCTGAGGTGACATTGACTCTCAAAGCAGGAGAGGCTTTAGTGAAGTTTGGGCGGTAACGGAATACGACTGAGGCACAGATTCTCGTTTGGTTGGAGAGAGATTTAGAGGGGGAGTCGAACAGACAGAGAGGGATAAAAACAGCTCCTTAAAGCAAACCATTGATCACTAGTCAAAGTCCTTGATTCTGTCTAATGAGCTGCTTGTTCCTTCTGGGAGGGAGAGTAATGAGAAAAACATTGCTGCCTGCCACAGAGAAAGTGGACACGCAGCCAAACAGCAAAGACCTTTTATTTAAAAAAAAAAAAAAAAAAGATTTGATGTTGCTGCATTTTGACATCAACTTCTAAGACAACAATTCAGGAAGACAGTGCTTTTACAGATACATATGCATATGCATGCATATATATGCTTATTTACATTTCAAAGGGTGCTTTTCTAAGACTCCTTCATAGCTATTAATGGTGCAGCATGTGTATCACTATGTATTGAATATTAAACAGCTGAATTACCTCGGCGGTACAGCCATTTCTCTTAGTACATCTAATAGATGTAATATATCCAAGTGTGAATCTCTTTATAGGCCAATCTGCCATATAATAGATGCAATATATTCTTTCATGCATACTTTATTATGCAGTTATAGTCCAGTCAAACAAAAAGTCAACTAAAGGTTCAGGTTTGACCAGAAGAGAACACGCACACGTGCGCATCATGACGTAGCCCGTAGCTGCTCAGTGCCCTGATGTGACCCTCTTGGCTCATCAGGAAGAAACTGCTCCACTTAAACTTTGTTGCTCCCTTGTAATTGAATTAGTCTGCTCAATTATGTAGAGGCAGGCCTGTCCTCATTACACAGCACTATTAAAGCAGGAGGAAGGAAGCCGAAGGGAGGAGAGCAGAAGGCACGGAGCGGAGCTAAAAGTCATTTTAGTGGAAGTTTCATCGCCCTAATCTCCCAACGTGTCCGCCACATCTGTACAACAACTGTGCCGTACATCATGAATTATGTCCTGCTCTCTTTTTCGTGCTCTCTCTCCTTGTTTGACTTTCCTCTTTCACTCTCTCTCTCTCTCTCTCTCTCTCTGCTTCTGGGCCAAATGCCTGGAAAATGCTGAAGCAGCAATTTGGCTGAGTTCCTGCAAAGCTCACTTCACTAACTTTACAAGAAAACATCTAACAGAGCCAAAATGCTTCCTAACCACTTGCTACAGGGCTCCCTGAGCCCACCACACAGTGATCACATGTCTGCTAAATATTCATTCACATTCACACGCTTAAGGGATCTTTCATTCTGCCAATACCTTCTTCCTGTTTTTGTTCCACATATCTTTGGTGTCATGTTTTCATATTCCATTGTCTCTGTCTGTCTTTCTGTAGGAGCAGCTGAAGAGCCTCCAGATTGGCTTCAAGCACGTCAATGATGGAGGTTTCCTGCTGCAGTGGTGGGTTTACACACACACTCACACACACTATAAACACAACACATACATGGAATGACAATCAATGTCCTGTGCAGCTGTAAAGGGCCATTCGGACCAAAACATGGCTGTTTAATTAAAGAGAAACTAGACGGCGATTGGACTTGTATGCATCCTCTGAATGTCCGCTACATCCTATTCTCCTCTCTTCTCGCTCAGTAATCATCTGACCATGAACCTGGACAACAACATCAATATCAACATGCCACCAGATGAAACCAAGGTGTTGATGTGAGTAAACTGTTTATGTAAAACTACAAAGGAGCGCTTGTGGAGATTTATTACATACAGTTTGTTTCATTAAAATAGAGAACTGCCTTTCTTGTCACTTGAATTGCCATTAAAGTGTTGAATCTTCTTCTGAGTCAGTAGTTGTAACTTGAGATTAAGAAAGAAACACCAGTTTATCTTTAACTTAATTATTATATGAAAAGTTATCATGTTATAGAATAGCTGATATAAAACTGATAACAGAAGAATCAGCTTACCTCAGTTCAAATGCTCCCATGCTGGTGTCCTCACGTTGTCTCCTCATCACTGCACGCAGCATCCAGCGGGCCTGGCGGGACTTCCTCCAGAGGCAAGAAGTGGAGAAGAGGAGCCCCTCTCCTCCCTCCCTCTCCTCCTCAGACAAGATGAGCATGTCAATCAGCATGACGACCCTGTCGGACGGCAGCACACCTGTAAGTAAGGCCTATGGCCTACATATAATCTACACTACAGACTAAAGGCATTCAGACAATGCTGTGATGGAAATGTGTCTTTGCTTGGGCTGTTGAATTTTAAGGATCGATGATAGACACAGCGGCAGTTGTTGTGATTTTTGAACGTTTGCTGGTTAGGATGTAAAGACTTCAGTTATAAATGTGTTTATATATTTTTAGACATTCAAATCAGGGTGTAAGTGTTGCCGGCTTTATTTTAAGAATTTGGGACATGTTGGGACAAGTGTTGTCCCATTCATGTCCAGAGGGGGGCAGTATCCCATACTTGATGTCTTCAGTATGCAAACTTGCATCCAGCTCTCTCTCTCTCTCTGTAAATGGATACAAGGAGTTGGTCTGACATCCACACACTCACTCTCTCTCTCTCTCTCTGTCTCTCTCACTCTCACACACACACACACACACACACACACACACACAGTGCACAGAAATCAGTGGAACAGTCATTCTCATTCAGCACATCTTCTCTTCATTTAACCAGACCACAATAAATCCAGGGGATTTTCCTCACTGCGTCTGTTCTGGTCATTATAATTCAATCCTGACGTCTTCTGCAGCCTTCTGCCTGAATAGCAAGTGTGTGTACACTTCTCTGCTAATCTCCGAGCCTGGAGTCAACAGGCAGGGTTAAATCTCCGAGACGGCTGGGAGAGTTGTGTGTAAGAGCGCACTTAGGTGGTACTTGTCCAACCCAATTGCTACAGAGAAAAGCTTTTACACAGAGGAAGACTGTTTGATTTGGATTCATGTGGATAAAAAGCAGGTCAGAGGGGTTTAAAGTGAAGGGAATTCAGAGTGGGCTCTCTTCACAGTTGTTAGTTTTACAATAACTTGGCATGTGAGCAGCTGGCGGATAGTTTTTCAGGCCAGGGAGGTTGTGGATGAAGCCATCAAGAATTCTATATGGTTGACACACACGTAGGCCTGTAGTAAATATTGGTTGTGTATGAGATCCTTTGGGATGGCGAGGAAATGCTTAGCTCAGTGACTCTCCGGCCAGACGATCATCACAGAGAGAAAGAGGTGTGTGTGTGTGTGTGTGTGTGTGTGTGTGTGTGTGTGTGTGTGTGTGTGTGTGTGTGTGTGTGTGTGTGTGTGTGTGTGTGTGTGTGTGTGTGTGTGTGTGTGTGTGTGTGTGTGTGCGTGTACACTTGCTCCCTAAGGTCACAGGAGATAGAGGAGTGCAGCAGTGAGGAAAGGAAGATGAAAAACAGATGTTGGTTCACCGGTTAAATGTGCTGACGCTGTAGATCCGCCCTCCTGTGTGGGGAATCGAGGGCTCAGCTTCTTCTCTTGTAATACTTTTTTTTTTTTTTTTGTACCTGATTGATCAGAACAGTATGTGTGCCTTATTTTCTCAACTCTGCCTTGTTTCATACGCTCTCCCTTCTTTCCTTTTTTCCCCCCCTCTTTATGTGATTGTCTTATCTCTAAAGCGATTCATTTGGTGGATTTGACAGCTCCGCCCATGTTAGAGTTTCTAACAGTCTGATTTCTGTCAACCCAGCAATATTATTTTTACACACGCCAGGGCACACACACACGCATGACACACACTAACACACATACACATGCACCCCAGAGAGAAGACACAGCAATGTAGCAACCATCTCTAAAGTGATTGAATTTGTAACCTATGAGCCTGTAACATCAGTCTTTGACAAAACCCCACTGCATGACACTTTGACATGTCTGTGTAGTTCTTTTTTTCTTTTGTCTGCTAATAAGCAAGCAATCTTCCATTTGCTGTGTTTTTTTTCGGATTGATGGGCGTGATATTCTCACCGAGACAAAGTTGACATGCGACTCGTTATTGTGTAAACGATCTCTCACGCTGTAACTCAGCTCAATCATTGCCACGACAAAACCGCAAAATTGAGCCGCTCTGGATATCTCTCTTTATGATCGATCCCTCCGCTCCCAACGCGCCACCATAGAGGGACGCAGAAATTATAGGTTTCATTAAAAAGGAACCTAACAAAACTCTGGCTTTTATGCCCAGATATGAATCAGCTGTCTGAATTTTATTGTTTCATAATACTGTATAGCGTCAACACACAACAACCCCGTTCCTTGGCCACACACATGCACGTACACGCAGGAGAGAGGGCACACACAAACACACACACACACACACACACACACACACACAGAGACACAGGCACAGACCACTACAGCTTTAATTCCAGACTGTCTAGATGATAGATGTCTTTTTATAGCCAGACATCAATCAATACTGTTTGGGGACTGGCTGCGTGTTTTTCTAACCGGATTGGCACTAAATTACTTGAGAAATGAGGACGAAGAAACAAACAAATAGAGCAGACCTTAACCTACATGAGATGTGTCTTTTTAAACTTTCCAAACAAAAAGCTGTTCAGTCCTATGTTTCAGACTAATTTTTGAGTTTCTTGCCTTTTTATCTTGGCTCATTTGTAGTCTTCATTTGGGCTGTGCGCGCTGTCCATTGCTGTGGTCCTGAAATGGGAGTTTCAGATGTAGTAGCAGAGGTTTAACACCAGAGGGAGATCCTGCATCACAGTTTTTGTTTGAGTTTCTTTTGCCTTTCTTGGGATTGGACCAGTTTCTGTTTTTCTTTAGAAAGGCAAAACCTCAAGATCTGAAAATAAATACAACTCTTGTCATGTGTTAAACTTTTCTGTGTATTTATTTGCATTTGAGGGAAACATTTGCTTAAAAGTGCACTGTACTGGGGAAAAACCTATTGTTTGACATCACGTCAGCTTAACAAGGGTATGATAGAAGAGAGAAGATATATGCAAATGTGTGTTTTGGCTGGTGAAGGGCACACAGGAGCAGGTTAGTCCATCTGGCCTGCTAAGGTGCACTGAGACTAGGAGGCCGAGCAGAGCAGCACTGCCTTCCCTCGTCTGCCAGCTGTCACGATTCCCTGTCTGTGCCCTCTCCGCCGATGCTCTCTTAATGCCCCCTCCGTCATTTTCTGTCATGTCATTGTTTATTTCTGCCTTTGCCTTTCATATTTAATGTGTTTCCTTGTTTGTCATCTCCTTCTTTATGCCCCTCTCTCTCTCTCTCTCTTCTCTCTCTCTCACGTTTGCTCACATTCTCTGTTTCACCCTCCTGCTGTTCTCTTGGCTTTATCAGGTCATGCAGCTGCAAAAAACAGCTACGGAAACCTGGTCGGAGAGATACAAGAGGTTAGACGAAGCTTGAGGAATATTTGTGGTGTTGCTGTATGTGTGCTTTTTAAGTATAGTGCACATATCTAATCATATAGACCCCACAGAGATAAGAGACATTCACCAGAGTTGTATTACCTTTGCAGGGTCCGCAGGTTAACGTTCAGGACTGCTGAGAGTTCTCCTGAAATAACCCGCTGACTTTTTCCGCAGCTGACTAAAATTCATCATTACAAAAAAACCATTAAGAGCTTCAGCAGATTACTGAGCCAGCAGTCGGCACACACTGTACCCTGTGTCAAAGCATTTAACCCCTCACATTCATTTCAACCATCTAATCCAATGCAGGGTGAAATAGCCGCCCTGTCACCAAGCTCACATAATTTGAATGTTCGCAGTCTTTTTTTTATTCACAGTACAAGCCGACCTTTTATTACTTTAGATGGGAGAAAGCAGGAAAGGTCACATATTGTATCACCCCAGTAGAATGGTTATTAGACCAAGGCCTGAGCATTTTATTGTATGAATGAGTTTCCCTCAGGCTCCCTGTGCCCCTGTTCTTTTTTCTGTTTATTCTAAATTGACCTCATGGGGACTGATTGTTGGACAAAAGGCAGCTCACCAATCTTCATTTGGACAACCCGGGGAAAGAAAAAATCTTTTTCTGTTTGTTTATAGACTTTGCTTCAGACTGTTCGCTTATTTGTAAAAAATCACAACAGAAATGTATCTGATGTCATGCCAGGTCGTAGAGAAAAACAAAAGTGCACAAAGCAAATTTAAAATTCTAAGGCGTAGTAAACATCCACGTAATTCAGTAAACGATCATTATTATTGCAGTAGTTTTAAAAAATGTACAAGAAGCCAATTTCCCTTTCCAGACATGACGTATGAAATATATATATACTGTGCAGCAACCTCTTCAGGGCCCACCCATCTCTGTAATCACACAACTCAGATCAACACTTGAGGCACATTTTACAACTTTCTTTTTAAATTTCATAACTGAAGTATTCTATATAAAAGTAACAAAAACGAATCAGTCCACAATCCAGTCATCATCTATTTGTAAAGCCAACAATAAGTGCATTATTAAATTGTAAAATTGAACCTTTCATGTTTTAATTTTAAATGACCTCTTGCAGTACCTTCACAGTCCATCAGTGGGGGCCACAGCCCTCACTTCAGGAATCACAGCTGTAGTATAGAAATCATTTTTCTTACAACCTTATGTTGCCCGGGCACTAGTAAAATGCCTTGCAGTGTGCTTAACATTGTTTAACATGAGATCATTCTAATTCATTACAATGTCAGCTATCGAGTCAGTGGTCCACTGCACACTGTCACCCCTCCAAGCAGTCCCATTCCCCAGCTGTCTCTCCCACCGCTCCTCTTCCACTGTGGACCACAAACGTCCCTGTGAAGATTTATGGTAATTATGCAAATGCAACATAAGGTTTTGGAAATTAATGCTAACCCCCCCGCTAGTCTCATACACTGGAGGATGGGTGTAACTGCAGCCAATGCTTTCGCAATCCTGTTACTGTAATACCAGGGACAAGTGAAAAGCTGAGGTCAGGCGATTAAGGATTCCCTCGAATTAGCTCATGTGTTTAATCATCTTTCTTCATTCATTAGGGGCAAATTGATTAAAGAGGGTTTTTTAAGTAATTCCTTGGGTGTGATGCTGGGTAAGGATGCACATTACATTGACGTCAAAGCTCTTGTTTTAATCTCTCACCTGGATAAGATGTACTGTAATGTAGCGGTACAGCTGTTGGTGTTCTTGGTCTCTGC